AATCTTCATGTCTTTTTCGACTTGTAGTAGCTTCAATAGCTCTGGCAACTTTGATAAGACTTCATCCTTTTTCTTGATGAATATTGTCCATGTGTACCTAGAAAAATCATCAATAACAACCAAAGTATATTTCTTACCACTTATACTTACTGGGTCTACTGGACCAAATAAATCCATGTGCAGTAGACTTAAGGGTCTTGATGTTGACTCTTGAGCTTTGGCTTTGAATGATGCTTTGATTTGTTTTCCTTTCTGGCATGCGTCACATATTTGATCTTTCTTGAACACAATATTGGGTAGTCCTTCGACTAACTTCTTTTTGGCAAGCTTGTTGATGGTTTTGAAATTCAAATGATTTAGCCTTCTGTGCCATTCCCAACTAGCTTCTTTCGAATTATTGGCCATCAAGCACACAGAATCTTTTGTTGTGCTCCAATCTACAACATACATGTTTTTCTTTCTTGATCCGGCGAGTACGACTTCTTTCGTGGATTCGTTTTTTACTTGACATTTGCCTTTGTAAAATTCTACGAGATATCCTTTGTCGCAAAATTGACTTGTACTAAACAAGTTAAATTTTAATCCTTCGACATAAGATACGTCATCAATTCGTAGACCATTTTCACAATTGCGCCGGTTCCTTTTGTCATTCCATATCGATCGTTTACTCCGAAAACTACTTTTGGTCCTTCGATACTTTTGAACTCAACTAGACTAGCTTTATTGCCGGTCATATGTCGAGAGCATCCGCTATCGAAATACCAAACTTCCTGCAAGAAAGATTAATTATTTATAGGTACCCATGCTTGATTGGGTCCTTTTGTGTTAGTAATTTTTGGCATCCAAATCCACCTAGATCCCACTGATCCAAGAGTAGGTGATTTGTAACCATTCAAGACTCTATAATCAAAACGCACTTTCGAATAATGATTCGGTGCGGGTTGGGAAGCTGATTGTTGCTTGATTCTATGAAATAGAGCAAATCTGGACTTGGCCCATGATTTATTTTCAAGCGACCAATCTTCTTCTGAGGGATATAATCTCCCAGCCCCAATTCTCGGAATTCTTCCCATATTCCTATGAGGTTTTATTGCACTAGACTCGTTGGCTCTCTTTGGAGATACAAATTTTTGCCTTTTAAAATTTTGTTGCCTATTCGAGATATTAGATTTTTATTCGGTCTTGCAACATTTTTCTGGGCATTAATTTTGTTTCCAACTCCTTGTCTCATTGTGCTATACTGACTTTTCACAAATTTTACCACTGGAACTTTATTAATTAAAGTAGTAGTAGAATTAGTCAGTTTCACAGGGGTTTGAGAACATGATGGATCGTAGCGTAGTCCGGCTTTATCTCCAGCGGGTTTTTGCATATTCACCATCTTATCCATTATTTTGGATGATTTTGTAAATGATGCGATTACTTCCCGAAGGTTATGTTCTCTAACCTCTCTAGCTTTGCACTCTTCTTGAAGTCGAATATTTTCGGCTTTCAAGTTACTCATTTCGATTAGAGCATTTTGCAATTTTTGTGACATTTCTTCCTTTTCAAGAATTAACGTATTATTGCGCTCTTTGATTTGAGTATGAGTGGACATGACTTTTTGACAATCTTCTATAAGACTTTGAAGTGATTCTTGGGTCTCGAAGGAAGTGTCAACGGAACTAAAGGAACTAGAAGATACCTCTTCGTCGGTTTCGCGCGCCATTAAACATTCTTCATGTTCGGATGTTTTGCCCACTAGACATAGTAGCGCCGTATCTTCTTGTGATGAATCACTCTCATCACTAGATGATTCTTCGGACTCACTTGCTTCTAACGGATCGCTTATTAGTGCCTTCCGTTTGTCCTTTTTGAATCTCTTTTCCTTCGACTTGTATTCTTCCTGCGAAGGGTTAGTAGCATTCGAATTTTTGCTTACCTTGGGGTGTGGACATTCGGCCATAAAATGTCCAGGTTTTCTACAATTGTAACACACGTTTGTGTTATCTTCGACTGGTTCCCTTTTTGATCTTCTATTTTCTCGAAAGAAATTTCCTTGTGGTGATCCTTTTTTCTTTCGCATGAATTTCCTGAATTTTCTAACAAATAGAGAAAATTGTTCGTCAGATAAGAAATCATTATTTACGACTGACCTTGATGAGGAAGGTTGTTCGGCCATCAGTGCGGATGTTCGTTCATCACGTTCTTCTTCATTTCGTGTCTTCATTTCGAACTCATACGCCTTTAGATCACTAAAGAGTTTATCCGTAGATAATGTCCTTAGATCTCTATGATCACGCATTGCGGTCACCTTCATATCCCAATTTGTAGGTAGTCCGCGTAACACTTTGAGCGATATTTCTTTCTGGGTAATGGTCTTTCCCAGGTCCGTGATTTCTCCAAGTATTTTGATCAATCGAGCTTCCATGTCGGTGATGCTTTCGTTCGGTAGCATTTTGAAATCTTCGAACCTCTTCATGGCAATTGTTAGTTTGTTGTCTTTTTCTTGCTCATCGCCTTCACCGATACCGATAAGTGTATCCCATATTTCTTTTGCTGTGGTGCACTTTCGAATCTTTGGAAAGATGGTGTCATCAACCGCTTTGAACAAAATGTCCTTGGCAATATTGTCCAAGTTATTTCGCCCTCTATCTTCGCTTGTCCACTCCATTTTTGGCTTTGGAACATATTGTGGAGCATTTGGATCTCGTGGAGTAGCGGTGTTAACTTCCATAATTTGGATACGACCATTTGTGATGACTTCCCACATTTTGTCATTTAAAGCAGATAAGTGCACCTGCATTCGAATTTTCCAATCATCAAATTTTTTAAGAGAGAAAAGTAAATTTTGAGCGAGAACCATATCTCTCTTCATCTTGAAGATTTTGAGATCTATCTAGCAGTCAAAATTGACTCAAATAGATAACTGCTCTGATACCACTTGTTGGTCCCGAAAGGGTGGCGAGAAGTCTAGAGGGGGGGGGGGGGGTGAATAGACTTCTCTAACTTTTCAAACTTCTTCAGCAAACAATACTTTGTAACTTCAATTCTAAATAACAAGCATAAGCAAGTATAATAACTTAGAGTGTGCACAGCGGAAATGTAACGGCAAAGTGTTATGCTTTAATTGTGTAGTGCTCAAGGAGAGATTCTATACATGCATCACGTTAGAAACACTTGTTATAGACGTAGGATGATGTATATAAAATTTCACTTGCATGCAAACGAGGGAACTATCAAACCCAGACAGATAAAGATACGCAATAAACCGTAACGGGTTAGTTCACAAATAATATAGGCATCCACGAAATATATATGAGCAGTAAGTAAATAGAGAGAGAGATTTATAGTGGTTCAGAGGTGGTGTAATCCTCCTAATCCACTCTTCTCCTTTCCCTTCAAGGAGGAAATTCACTATTCTTCGATCACCCAGATACAATAGTGAATAAGTGCCCAACGACACTTCTCCGAGTGCTTCGCACAAAGCTACACTCCACCAAGGTTTTTCGCAAGCTCCTCTTGTTACTCCGCCTTCCCGAGTACTTCGCACCAAGCTGTACTCCTACACCAAGAGAACTACGCACAAAGCTACGCTCTCACCGGGTTTTCACAAGCTCCCCTTGTTACTCTTCCCGTTACAACCGAGTGCTACGCACAAAGCTACACTCCAACTGGGTTTTTCACTCTCCCTAGTTACTCTACCCCTTTTCTACACTCAGTAGAAGATTTACAATGAAATACAAAGATTTCTTCTCTCAGACTTGAATTCTATCTTGTATAGCTCAATATACTACTTGATGATTGTAGAATTCGTTCTTGTAAATCTCTTGTTGTCTTCAAGTCTGCTTGGGCAATTTATAGCCAAAGAAAGCTATTTGCCCGTTGATCAACTTTCGATCTTGATCGTTCATTTTGAATTGTAGTTGATCAATTAATTTTGCTAACTTGGTCTGCAAAAGTCATTTCGCCGTTTGTCAGAAGATCTAAATAAATTTGTCGTTGCTCCTCTTTAGTCTGACAAAGCTTTTCCTTGAAATGGGCGGCCTCCAAATTTGAATTTCTCTTGCATGACTTTTGTCGAATTATTAATCTGATGTGCCAAGTTGATCAAATAATTTATCTGCTGATTCTTGCTTGAGTAATAAAAAGATTTCCTCCATATATCAGCTTCTTCTTCTCCTTCGACTTCTTCTTGCAGAAACAGAGCTTCAAAAATGTTTCTGTCTAACTTTATCATGATGTCATATCCCAATAGTATATCATGGACTAGCTATCATGTTCCACCTTGTATCATGAACCATATATATCATGTTTCATCTTACATCATGAGAACGCTATCATTTTCCACCTTGTATCTTGGACCATATATATATCATGTTCCATTAGCTATCATGGACCATATATATCATGTTTTCACAAAACTACTTCGGGTGGGGTTTGAACTGTGGACCATTTGCTTTGCTTGGTAAGGTTTCTTCCATCTCGACTGAGTATCCAATTAATACAATCCAAGATTTAAAATCTTTTGACTTATTCTTTCCACGTGTTCTCCACTAGCTTTATCACACTGTAACGTCATCACCCGATAGTGGTGATGTCATCATCTGATAGAAAATTGTTCTATCATGATAGTATTACTATAACGATATTTCTTTGTGACATCATCACCCGATATTACTTTACACCAAAATTGCTCTCACTGAGAATCAAACTGTGGATCATTTCACGTTAGGCATGCTTCAACAAGTTTTCTACCATCTCGTCCATTTCAACCTTTAGTAACTTGCTGCTTCATAAATGTGTTGAGCTATGATCCCGCTTTCATTTATTCTGCTTTCACGTAGACTTCATGTAGGCTTCATGGCAGTGGTGCACTATACTTTGTGAACCCGAACTGACTCAAATAAAATAAAATTGGGGTCTATAAAATACATTTGGCTCATCAAAACTTATACAATATATTCCTAACAATAAGACTGCATCATTTTCTAATGTAATCAAAGTTCATTTTCAAAAACTTACGCATTGTCTTCAATTTGAAAGTCGATTAGTTTGGTGGCCTTTCCCCCTATAATCTTGTCCACAGGATTGTAAATCTCAATTACCCTTCTAATAACATCTGCAAAATGAACAAAATATTAGCAAGAAGTACTAAAAGTATAATAAAAAATATATTAGAAGTTAGGAAAGGTAAAGTTAGTACCAATCAGTTCCTTGTCATTCACATCATCAGGATCTTTCAAAGCCAAAAAACTCTTTAGTCTAAACATTTTGCAAGGAAAGCCATTAGAATGTATTTCCTTCACTTGTGTTCTGTAGTTAAATTTGAGCATGAAACCATGCTCTGTAATCTTGTAGACATAGTAGTTTGTAGAAGCCATGAAGTTCTTGATTTCAAAAACTTTCCCTTCCTTGATTGTATCTTTATACTTTCCAATGTCTTTTTTGATGATACTCGCATGAATGTAGTCTCCCTGCGAATACAATAGAAAAAAATTATAGACAGCAAAACACACTAAGATTATTAGATAACATGGCATGAAAGTAGCTTAATTGAAAGACCATTAGATTAGTAGATAAAATCAGATTGGTAAATAGATAAAAGTACCTCTTCATCATGGAACAATACTTCCATGCTCTTACTGGCCTGCCCCTCTCCCCTTTTCTCAGGAACTTCATAGACACGTACTGCTCTCACTCGTATTGCCCGGAGCTGGTGTTCCGGCTTAATGTTTTTGACAGCAATGAACATGGAAGGCATGTTGAAACACCAAAAAATGCTTTCGAAAAGGTAGTAAAGTGATCTAAATTTCTGAAGTGTTTTGGCATGAAGAAGCCCGGTATTTATACATATTGAAAATTCAAAAAAACGAAGATACCATGAGACAATGTTTTGGAAATCGCACATCTCAATTAATGTGAATTTGAATATTGCAACTCTGCATATTCTATGTAATCTATGTAATCTATGTAATATATATAATTCTTTCTTGTAGGCCGGATCAGTTCATTATGCTTTTTTGATATTAATAGTAATGATCTTGTTTACAATACCAAAGAGTTCTACATTAATTGAACTCCTTGGGAACCAAGGATTGTATAATAATAAGAACGGCTAGGCATATTCCCAATGGGGAATCACATTACACGCGGAACATAAATAAACAATTAAATCGCGAATTAGGACTAAAGCAAAACTGTGTCGTTTTCATTGGGCGGGAAACAATGATTGGCAAAACTTCTTGCTTTATTATAGAGTTAGATTAGATTATTATTGTTATTGTTATTGTTATTGTTATTGTTATTAGTATTATTATTATTATTATTATTATTATTATTATTATTATTATTATTATTATTATTATTATTATTATTATTATTATTATTATTATTATTATTATTACTATTATTATTATTATTACTATTACTACTATTATTATTATTATTATTATTATTATTATTATTATTATTATTATTATTATTATTTTGAAAACACTTATTATTATTATTAGAGGAAAGGGTCAAATAAGCCCCTAAACTTTATAAAAGTTCAATTAAACACTCAAACATGTCAAATTGGATCATTAAAGCCCAAAAACCGGTAAATGACCTGTTGTTACAGATCATTTTAATTCCAGCGACGGATTCCGGCCGCCGGCGACATTTTACGGCCGTCCGGTCGTCTTCCACTGGAGAAGACGACCGGACGGTCGCCTTCTCCGTTGGAGAAGGCGGCAGGCGGCCGTCTGCCGCCTTCTCTAGAGGAGAAGACGACCAGATCTGGTAATTTTCTCCAATGGAGAAGACGACCAGACGGCTGTCTGCCTCCTTCTCCATTGGAGAAGATGACCAGATCTAGTCATCTTCTCCAATGGAGATGACAACCAGACGGCCGTCTTCTCCAATGGAAAAGATGACCAGATCTGGTCGTCTTCTCCAGTGGAAGACAACTGGACGACCGAAAAATGTCGCCGGTGGCAAGAATTTGTCATCGGTTGAAGGAATCTGTCGCCCGAATTGAAATGACCTGTAATAACAGGTCATTTACCAGTTTTTGGGCTTTATTAACCCAATTTGACATGTTTGAGTGTTTAATTGAACTTTTTTAAAGTTTCGAAGCCTAATTGACCTTTGGGGTAAAGTTTAGGGGCCTATTTGACCCTTTTCTATTATAATAATAATAATAATAATAATAATTATTATTATTATTATTATTATTATTATTATTGTTGTTGTTGTTGTTGTTGTTGTTGTTATTATTATTATTATTATTATTATTATTGTTATTATTATTATTATTATTATTATTATTATTATTATTATTATTATTATTGTTGTTGTTGTTGTTGTTATTATTGTTATTGTTATTGTTATTATTGTTATTGTTATTATTGTTATTATTGTTATTATTATTATTATTGTTATTATTGTTATTATTTTTATTATCCTTATTATTATTATTATTATTATTATTATTATTATTGTTGTTGTTGTTGTTGTTGTTGTTGTTGTTATTATTGTTATTGTTATTGTTGTTATTGTTGTTATTGTTGTTATTGTTGTTGTTATTATTATTATTATTATTATTATTATTATTATTATTATTATTATTATTATTGTTGTTGTTGTTGTTGTTGTTATTGTTGTTTTTGTTTTTGTTGTTGAAGATTTTTATATGAAACAGTAAGTGATGGATATATTGGAAATGACCCAATAATAATAGAGACTCGGGGTTCGGGAATGTATAACCCCAGCAGCCCAATAAGAGTCTCAAGTCTGAAGCCTGTCTCCGAGCCCAGAATGATGGGCTTTGACTTAGTCTTGTGGCCCACCGTATGGGTCTGACTTAGTCTCGTGGCCCACCACGAGTTTAGCCTAAGTGGTTGAACTTTCCTTTGTATAAATTACCGTAGTACAGTTATTACAAGATCATGTCTTATTCCCTTACAAGCTAAGACATCTTCATTATCATTGTCCTAGTTTAGTATTGTAATTGCATTACATTTCCTTTGTAATAGCTTTGCGATTACAAATCAATACAATATTTGGTCTCCGAGACCTTTATCAGCTATTTTCCTATCACTTTGTCTATTTTATTATCCATTTACATTATCCTTAATTCATTGGGTTTAACGATCCGGACCACCCGAATTAATTAAATCCATCATTGGCTCTCTTATTGAGAGCTATTGTACAAGCTCGAGCGCTCTCCTTAATCAACATATTTCTATGAAACCAACCTTCAAACAATGGCAAGATCATATCCCATTTCAACAGCCCTTCCCGGCCGCAACCATAAAACCAGGGCTGGACACGACGCCATTTTTTTACGACCAGAGCATTTTTCTTTTTGTGATCACTCTTGGAGGAACGCAATTTGAAATCCATAATGCGTACTTCTGTTCGAGCGCAAATTATGCCATGGAAACGTGTTCACCATGCTTGGTGAACACGGTCCCAAACGGCATTGTTTTTACCGGAAAAAATAATTAGTTAATGTGCTGTTAATGGCGTTTTGCATTTTATGTTTAGATTATGAATTTACATTTATTAAATTATGAATTTTCTGTTATGAGATTATGAGTTTACAGTTATGTAATTATGAATTTTCTGTTATGAGATTATGAATTTACAGTTATGTAATTATGAATTTTCTGTACAGTCATAATCTCATAACCAAAAAATCATAATCTCATAACAGAAAATTCATAATTTCATAACTGCACATTCATAAATCCGTGCCTGCATATTCATAAATTCATGCCTGCACATTCATAATTTATGAGTGTTGAAGAAACTTGCACGAAGAAGAAGTGAAACCGCAAAATGTGAATATGAAGAAGAAAAGTCGCGTTGTTAATTAAAAAAAAATTGGTGGAAGATAACGGTGCCTACGGCACCATTACCGTTTGGGACCGTGTTCACCATGGATGGTGAACACGGTTCCATGGCATAACGATTGTTGTTCGAGAGCCTCCTGCATAAAATTTATGACATCCGTATGTGCGTGTGAGAATGGGGTTTGGCCTAAAAAGCTTGAAGCTTTTGTATGTGGCCCATCTATAATATTTAGCAGAAGAGATATATCATATATATGCATGGATGTGTATACATATAGGCCACCGCACATTGCGTTGTTCAAAGATCATGAAAATCAGTTTCCATGGAACCGGCTGGATCACGGTGTTCGATCACCAAGGCCCGATGGTTGATTTTTCGCGAGGAAGAGGAGGGCGAGTCTGTCTTCCTCCATGGTGGTTGGGGGCGGCGGAGGAAGATGTAGAACGCAGGTGCATGCAGGCTTGTTTTCGTAGACGGATTCGGCAATTAATTTCGAATTTGCTTCAACGATAGTAACTTCTCCGATCGCATCCGCTTCACCGATAGTAACTTCTCCGATCGCATCCTCCGGATCGTATCTGACTCATTCGAAGTCTGCTCCAATTTTGATGCCTCCAAAATTCTCGCAGAAGACACATCCTCTTTCAAGTTGGGGAAGTTAGTAATCCATTGGAACCATCAGATCTGGACTTGCCAACTGCCATCGCAAGCAACGTGGAGGTGACTTCAAGGAAAATGCTCTAGACACTAATTTCTACATACCTAGAGCAACGGATTGTTAACGCTGATAATGGAAACCAAGAAGAGGAAATGGTTGGCTATAGTTGAAGAAGAACAATCTGGACTCTAGAGATGAAGCTGCTAATAGTGAGGATTCGAATTGGAATTTAGATTATTCTTATACGGTTATAAAAAGTGAATATTACATATTAAATGGCCTGGGATACGGGAGTCGGAGCTGATGATACAGGTAATTTTACTTTACAAATTCATGCTTTTGAGGAAGTTGTCATTATGGAGTTCCTAAATTTCATGTACAGCAATACATTGACTACAACTACTGCACCTGCTTTGTTAAATGTGCACAAATTCGAGGTTGCTTCATGCGTGAGGTATTGCAACCACCAAACTATGTAGTTTGACAATAATTCCAAAGTTTGCCTTGGTTTGTTTAGAGCTTCCTTCAAATGTCCTAATTCATGGTTGAGGCCGTGCGCAATCGACCTTAATATTTTCGAGGGGCGTTATGAGGTCTGACCTTGTTTGGTGCTAAGCAGAATTGTATTCTCTAACAGTGGTACAGAGCCCGCCCTTACTCATTACCTCACATAAGAGCCTATTTGTGGCTTATTACATATATGTTGGTCTGACCAACAATTTGTTTTTATTGTAATGAAGTATTTTTTGATGGCAAAATTAGTCCGATTCAGCAAATTTTATCCTTCCGAGGAGGGAGAGGGGCCGGGACCAAGGACTTCAGACCAACGTACGGTCCCCAGATCATTGTGAACTACGTCGGCGGAGACATCGTCCACGGGCCAATTCCGATTTAAAAAAAAAAACATATATATTGCTCGCTCAATGCATTCCCTAAGGGTCAACACGAGATCCGTACCTGCTAGCTACCTGATGGAAGAACCTTTCCGTGGCTAAGCCCCCGGCTCGGGCATGGAAATGTTAACATACCCTAAGGGTGCACGGGATCCGACCTCGCGTACCAACCCCGACGGAAGAGCCTAACGGCCTGGTGTCAAACGACTCGGGTCGAAATGCTATCAACCTAAGGGGGCACGAGGTCCGACCTCGCGTACCAAACCCGACGGAAGAACCTAACGGGCTAACGGCCCGATGTCAAATGACTTGGGTCGAAGGGCTATCACTCTAAGGGGGCACGAGGTCCGACCTCGTGTACCAACCCAG